CCAGCACTCGGGAGGCAGAGTCAGGCAGATCTCTGTGAGTTTGAGACCAGCCTGGTCTACAAGAGCTAGTTCCAGGACAGCCAAAACCAAAAAAAAAAAAAAAAAGTCTCCCTAAATTCCAGAAGTTCAAGTTGTGAGGATTTTCTGATTACTCTAGTTTCTTGTACTGGACTACCGGTTAGGCCCCCATCTTTATGTTGGACACAGATTCCCTTTTCCTATAAGGGCCGGCCCCTCAGGGCATCTTCTGTTGCTTTCTCCATGTTCCCTTCTCCCTCTCTCTCTGAATCTTCCCATGGGTCAAAAGTTCTTGGGTCCCAAGAAGGGCTTGTGACATCTAACTTGTCCCCTTTCCCTTCTGGCCCTAAGAAGCGGCAAGCCAGCCAGCACCTACACCTCCCCTCTGGTTTATCTAACTCCCTTGCCAGACCAGAGGCTGACATGGAGGATGTGCAGAGGCTGACATGGAGGATGTGCAGAGGCTGACATGGAGGATGTGCAGAGGCTGACATGGAGGATGTGCAGAGGCTGACATGGAGGATGTGCAGAGGCTGACATGGAGGCTGCTGCTGCACCTCCCTCTCCGTCACAATTGTGCACTAACCACACAGCAGAGGTCAGGCAAGCTCGGCTGCTGCCCGCCAAAGGTTTTGACTCTTGTTCGCCAATCTCAAACACTGCAAAATTTCCTCTAACCCTTTAACCGTGTTCAGGGCATCCCAGTACGCACATGCAGACCCCACTCCTCAAGCAGGCATGCCACCCCATGTCGCACAGACGAAGAGTCCATCATGAGTTCCTCCTGCAGATACTCCTGGACCTGACGGCTCAGCCTTAGTGACATGTCTCACTACCCTCAAAGAACCATGTGACGGCCGTCATAGCACAGAGGCACACTAACATACACGACACAGGAGAGGGCCACTGTGCTGGAGTTTCCTCTGACGATGTGCCCCCTCAGGTGGTTCAGCCTCAGTAGCATGCCTGCTACCCATGGCCAGGACCACTCATTCCTCCCCAACTCATCTTTGGTTCTCCTGTAGGTACCGATGATGTGTGACACAACTTTTCCTGGGGAGACACATCTACTCTCCACATTCATCTACTGATCTCAGATAGGGAGCCCACGACAAACCAAAGTATGGATCCCTCCAAAGTCAACTCAGTGAACTAATGACTCTTACAGGGGTTACTTACAGGAGTATGGGCGGGGCTACTCACACGAGCAGAAATGACTCAAAGACAGCCGCATCACCAAGGCCCACCCCGGCACGGTGACAGCTCACAAAGCTGGGAACCTGGAGCGCACTGCACAGCTGCAGGCAGAGGAACAGGTCGGAGAGTGTCCTTTCCAGGTGCCTCAGTTGGCCTAACCTCTCCCAGGCAGCTCGGCTGGTTCCTGCTTCTTGCAGGCACTGGTCTGTCTGGTCTCAGACTTTTCTTTGCAGCTTGGCTTTTCTGAGAGGGACTCTCAGCTTTATCGACTGCTCTGGCAGGGAGCAGACTAGTGAATCTTGTCAGCTTCGGAGACTTCCTGAAGCTATCTTAAGTTATTCACCCTCTGCTTTCAGCAGAATCGAGTGGTTTTAACTCGGAGAAAATTGTTACACAAACTATCCTAATATAGTTTAAGACTGCCTCATACTCACAGCAATCCTCCTGCCCCACCTTTTCAAATGATAACAGAAGTGAGGTGCCCTGCTAAAATATGAATTTGTTTTTGCAATGCTGTGGATCGGTTTTGAACACTGCTAGATGCATTAGCCACAGTTCTGTTGCTGTGAAGGCACACCGTGACCAAGGCAACAATATAAAAGGAAGCATTTAATTGGGGGCTTACAGTTTTAGAGGGTGAGTCCATGACCATCATGGCAACAACAGTAGCTGAGAGTTTACATCCTGATTCACAGGTATCAGGTGTGGGGTGGGAATGGATGGACAGACAGACAGACAGACACTGGACCTGATCCGGGCTTTTGAAACCTCAAAGCCTACCCCCACTTGACACACGGGCTCTACCATTGAGTCATGACCGTGTGCATGTATGTCTGCAGGCCAGCAGAGGGCACCAGATCTCATTACAGATGGTTGTGAGCCACCATGTGGTTTGCTGGGAATTGAACTCAGGACCTTTGGAAGAGCAGTCAGTGCTCTTAACCTCTGAGCCATCTCTCCAGCCCCCTCACAGGGGAATTCTTGGCAGGCTGTCTACCTACTGAGCCAAGGTTGAATTTAAATAAGGATTTAGGGGAGAGGGGAAGTAGGCATTAGGTCACAGAACAGCTGAGCAAATAACTAAAAGGAATACTGGAGAACACCTCCGCAATTAGGAGCATTCATTGCTCTTACAGAGGGCCCAGGTTCTATTCCCAGCACCCACATAATGGCTCCCGTCATCCCACTTCAGTTCTAAGGGATCTAATGCCCTCTTCTGGCCTCTACACGCACTGTGTGCATGTGCAGCATAAATATGCAGGCAAAACACTCATACAATGATAGGAAAAATCTTAAAAAAAAAAAAAACCTGAGTGCTGGACTAGTTTAGTGATGGGTTCTTGTTTAGCTTGGGGCTCTTGGTTCCATGAAGATCAAAAAACTAAAAAGTAGGCGCTGTTTGATTCCACCTCCTGAAACTCCTCCGCTATGTCCGTCTTGGAAGCTTTGTCCTGTAGCATTTCTCTGAAACGCTCAGTCCCTCCCATTCACTTCCTCCAGTCTCTCCCTCCCCATCTGATGCTGTTCTCAGTCTTCCATCTCTCCTCTCAGACCACTCCGGAAACACCACATTCTCTCCACCTAAATGTGGAGAGCAACTCACTTTCTGCCCTCATGGGCATTTTCCTAAACAAAGAGAAACTTAGAGAGAAACAAAGTGCCTGTCAGCTGGGATCCCTCTGCCAGTTAAGGACTGAGAGAAAACTAAGACCACTTTCCATAGTGGGACCCTCAATGAACCCACAAAACTAAAGGTAATTCTTGGGACCTCCGAGCCTCTACCTCACTGTGCCAAGCTCTTCTTTGCTTAGGCTGTCTCATCTCGATTCCGGGAATCTGCTTGGTGGGTCTCCCCAGCAGAGGTTCTGCTCTGTCCACACACACAAGGCATTTTTATGCATGCATAATATAGAAGGATTTTATCAGTTGACAGGCTAGAGACTGTGACATCGTTCAGCGGCTACCAGGGCCAAGTGGAGAGAGAGAGAGAGAGAGAGAGAGAGAGAGAGAGAGAGAGAGAGAGAGAGAGAGAGAGCGCACACACACACACACACACACACACACACACACACACACGTTTCAAGGTTAAGCATTCCTTCTGGAGGATTCTTCTCTCTGTGAGAAGCCTCTAGTCACGTCTTTATCTTGCCTTCCCACAGATCTGTTCCACCCAGTAGTATTTCAGCTTTAAAAAATCAAGGAAATAGGGTTGGAGAGACGGCTCAGAGGTTAAGAACACTGGTTGCTCTTCCCGAGGACCCGGGTTCAATTCCCAGCACCCACATGGCAGCCCACAGCTGTCTGTAAAGAGATCTGGCGCCCTCTTCTGGCCTGCAGGGATACATGCAGGTAGAACACTGTGTACATTAATAAGTAAATAAATCTTTACAAAATCAAGGGAAGAATATTTAAAATTCCATCTCCTCATCCTGGCCACATTTTAAGTTGTATGTTGACACTGGCTACCATGCCCATGCACAGGTTCTGTTTTGTTATGGCAGGGTGTTTTTGGACAGTGCTAGATAAGGTGAGGCCCCTCCCTCTTAGAAGTTATCTGGAGTCTGTAAGAAGTGTGACCAAATTGTGACCCCAGTGTCTACACCATTGCAAGAATAGATACAGAGGGTGGGCCTGATGGTGTTGACCTGCCATGCCAGGTACTCGAGGAGGACATGAAGCTTGAGGCCAGTCTCAGCAACTCTGCAAGACCCGTCTCCAGAGACGGTAACACTGGGGCTGAGGTACCAGCTCAGTCAGCAGCCCTCAGAGCCACAGGATGCAGAGCGGAAGTAGTGCTAGGGAATCCAAGACAGGTACATCCGAGGCCTTCCGGCCAGCCAGCCCAGCTTACTTGGTGAGCTCCAGGCCAACAAAATGTATGTCTTGCTGGGCATGGAGGCGCACACCTTTAACCCCAGCACTAAGGAGGCAGAGGCATGTGGACCTCTGAGTTTCAGGCTAACCTAGTCCATTAGCAAGCTCCAGACCAGCTAGAGGTATATAGTAAGACCTTGTCTCAAAAAAAAAAAAAAAAGCATCATGTCTCAAGGTGACTGTGGTCCTGAGGATGACACCCAAGGTGTCCTTCAGTCCCCCCCCCCACACACGCACTTACGTACCTATGCTCGCACGCATTCACAAACAAAAGTGGCACGGGGCCAAGGCTGTAGACCCACGTTCAATCCCTGGAACTCAGGCGATAGACAGGAAGAACCAACCCCTGCAAGCTGTCCTCCAACCTCTGTGCGAATGCCATGCCCTCCCACACATATAAATAAACCCAAAAGTAAAAAGTTCAAAAGGCAAGGTTGGTGGGATTGCTCACCAGACAAAGGCACTTGCTCCCAAGCCTGATGCTTGAGGTCAGTCTTCAGAGTCCACAGGATGCAAGCACAGAACTGACCTGCAAGCTGTCCTTCGACCACAAGTGCACCACGGGCACGCATGCGCCCCCACAATAAATGTAAAATCATTGTAAGGGCTAAAGGGAGGGGTTGGAGGTTCAGAGCACCTGGTCTTGTAGTGCAGTGGTTCTCAACCTGTTCACGCATGTGGACTGTGTGGCCACCAACCAGCTCCAAATCATGACTTATCGGTTGTGAATGCTCAGCCTAGCCTAGGCAAGCTTCTGGCTAGCTCTTTTAAATTATCCTGTTTCTCTTATCGGTTGTGAATGCTCAGCCTAGCCTAGGCAAGCTTCTGGCTAGCTCTTTTAAATTAACCTGTTTCTCTCCATCTACCTTTGCGTCGGGGCTTATTCCCTTTCTTACTTCTGTATAACTTACCTTCGCTGCCTCTCTCTGGCTGGCATCTGCCTGGCTTCTTGCCCGAGGTGTGTCTTTCCTGCTCTCAAGCCCAGATCTCTCCTTTTTATTCTCTCTGCCGGGCAGTCCCGCCTGTCCTTTACAATGTTGCAAAGAGGCACAGGAGAGGCACCCGCTCAGTTAGAGACGAAAGGGTTCCTGGCGTGCCATGAGGTCACCTAAGTGAGACTGACCCTGTCTTTCATGCCCCTGTCCTCAGGAAACTGGACGCCTTCATCTATGACGCAGCAGTGCTCAACTACATGGCCCGCAAGGACGAGGGCTGCAAGCTGGTCACCATCGGCTCTGGCAAGGTCTTCGCCACCACTGGTTACGGCATCGCCCTGCACAAGGGCTCCCGCTGGAAGAGGCCCATCGACCTGGCTCTGCTGCAGTTCCTGGGGGATGGTGCGGCTACTCTGGGCAGGAAGTCCTCCTACCCTGGAGATGGGAGGGCTGGCCCTCCATCCTGGGGAGGATGGGATGGGGCCAGGGCTCTATCAGAGGAAGGTGTGTTCACAGTAAGTGACTCTGACCCCATCCCCAGATGAGATTGAAATGTTGGAGCGACTGTGGCTTTCCGGGATCTGCCACAATGACAAAATCGAGGTGATGAGCAGCAAGCTGGATATCGACAACATGGCAGGTGTCTTCTACATGCTCCTCGTGGCCATGGGCCTCTCCTTGCTGGTCTTCGCCTGGGAACACCTGGTGTACTGGCGCCTGCGGCATTGCCTGGGGCCGACCCACCGCATGGATTTCCTGCTGGCCTTCTCCAGGGTAGGAAAGGGAGCGTGGAGGTAGGGGAAGCACCAGCAGAAGGGGGGACTGCAGGGGGGCAAAAACAGAAGGTGTGAGCAGGGCCCAGCGCTGATAAAGAGGTAGTGAGTACAGGCACCCGGCTGACCCATCGCCACCCCTCACAGGGCATGTACAGCTGCTGCAGCGCCGAGGCTGCTCCACCGCCTGCCAAGCCCCCGCCGCCGCCGCAGCCGCTGCCCAGCCCCGCATACCCCACCGCGCGCCCGCCCCCTGGCCCTGCACCCTTCGTCCCCCGAGAGCGTGCAGCCGCCGACCGCTGGCGCCGGGCCAAGGGCACCGTGCCTCCGGGGGGCGCAGCGCTGGCCGACGGCTTCCACCGATACTACGGTCCCATCGAGCCGCAGGGGCTGGGCCTCGGCGAGGCGCGCGCGGCACCCAGAGGCGCAGCCGGACGCCCGCTGTCCCCATCCGCCACACAGCCCCCGCAGAAGCCACCACCCTCCTACTTCGCCATCGTGCGCGACCAGGAGCCGGCCGAGCCCCCCGCCGGAGCCTTCCCCGGCTTCCCATCCCCACCCGCGCCGCCCGCCGCCGCAGCTGCCGCCGTCGGGCCGCCACTGTGCCGCCTGGCTTTCGAGGACGAGAGCCCGCCTGCGCCCACGCGCTGGCCGCGTTCCGACCCCGAGAGCCAGCCGCTGCTGGGTGGGGGCGCGGGCGGCCCGAGCGCGGGGGCCCCGACCGCACCGCCTCCGCGCCGCCCCGCGCCGCCCCCGTGCGCCTACCTGGACCTCGAGCCGTCACCTTCGGACTCCGAGGACTCGGAGAGCCTGGGCGGAGCGTCGCTGGGCGGCCTGGAACCCTGGTGGTTCGCCGACTTCCCCTACCCGTACGCCGAGCGCCTCGGGCCGCCGCCCGGCCGCTACTGGTCGGTCGACAAGCTCGGGGGCTGGCGCGCCGGCAGCTGGGACTACCTGCCCCCGCGCGGCGGCCCCGCGTGGCACTGCCGCCACTGTGCCAGCCTGGAGCTGCTGCCGCCGCCGCGCCACCTCAGCTGCTCGCACGACGGCCTAGACGGCGGCTGGTGGGCGCCTCCGCCGCCACCCTGGGCCGCTGGGCCACCGCCCAGGCGCCGGGCACGCTGTGGGTGTCCACGCCCGCACCCTCACCGCCCGCGCGCCTCGCACCGTGCGCCCGCCGCCGCGCCGCACCACCACCGACACCGGCGCGCGGCCGGCGGCTGGGACATCCCGCCGCCCGCGCCCACCTCGCGTTCGCTCGAGGACCTGAGCTCCTGCCCGCGGGCGGCCCCCGCACGCAGGCTCACCGGGCCCTCCCGCCACGCGCGCCGCTGCCCGCACGCTGCACACTGGGGGCCGCAGCTGCCTCCCGCACCGCACCGGAGACACCGGGGCGGGGACCTGGGCACACGCAGGGGCTCCGCGCACTTCTCCAGCCTGGAGTCCGAGGTATGACGCGGCTCCCGGGGGCCCCCGCCGCCCCCTCGGTCAGCGCAGGCCACGGCCCGAGGGGGCGCTCTATAGTGGACAAGACCCACCTGGGTTGGGAAGGACGGAAACGAACTTGGCCGGACCCCGCCTGGAGCAGCGTCCTGTGCCCCCTCGCACTGGGGGAACCATGAGCCAGAGGGGACTTGATCGCCCAAATCTCTCCCATCCTGAGAGCAAGGGGGCGGGGTTCTTGGAGCCCACCGACTTTTTTTAAACCCGAAAAGGGCTTTTTAACGTCATCTGATTTGGCGGGAGATGGGGAGGGGTCACGCCGCGCCCCGCCCCAACTCTCGGGGCCAAGGCCCTCACATCACTGTGCAGCTCCCTGGCCCCAGACACACCTCCCGGGGAGCCTGTTTTTAACCTTTCATTCATCAGGACTCAAAACTGTGAGACGAGTATGCCAAACTGTGACTCCAGACCTTGGCCCCGCCACACAGAAACCCCTGACCCCAGACTGTGACTTCCAACACCTAAAATGATCATCTGACCCCAGACTGTGCCCCGACCAGACTGTGACCCTTCCTGTCAAACCTCGATGACCCCTTCCTTTTAGATCCTTGTTGGCTCTGACCTATGACCTGTACTCCACGAAAGTCCTACCGCCACCTGCTTCCCCCACTTACCTACCCACCCAGAAGCCACCAACCACATCTTCAAGTCCAGACCTTACTGGTGACCCTTCAGTGATGGTCCAGCAGACACTCCCCGGCCTCCTCTCCAGATCTCAGCAGGGTCTGAGGCTGGCTTGAGAGGCGGGTCTGGAGCACACACTTGACCCTCCTTCCCGCCCCACTACACTGCAGTGTTTGGAATAAAACCATGTTTTTAACGCCTCCTCAGTCCAAGCCTGAGCTCTGTGTCTGTGTCTTAGGCCCCTTCAACTTCTCTGGAGAAAGTAAACCTGAGAAAAGTCCGTGGGGGAGTCACTCAGACAACAGAACCTGGGCTGCTGCTGGTGTTAACAGCGGCAGAGTGTTCTCCCAGCACTCATAAGACCCTGAGTTCAATCCCCAGGTCTAGAACGCAGGAAGTGGCCAGAGCCCCGAGGAGAGAGGGGTGGAGAGGGGCGGGGAGAGACACACCCCAAGAGTAGTGGCAAAGATGAGGGATGTAATCATTAGGATCAAGCCAGGCGGTGGTGGCGCACGCCTTTAATCCCAGCACTCGGGAGGCAGAGGCAGGCGGATCTCTGTGAGTTCGAGACCAGCCTGCTCTACAGAGCGAGTGCCAGGACAGCCTCCAAAACAATACAGAGAAACCCTGTCTCAAAAAAAAAAAAAAAAAAAAAAAAAAAAGGATCAAGTCAAGTCTAGTGTCCTGTTCCTAAGGCTACTGGCAAGAATGATTTGATCGGTTGTCTTATGTAAATGAAGAGAACGGCCAACCCACGTCTTGAATACCCTTAATCTCCCCAGTGAGAATCAATTTCCAACATTTCATTACTCCAATTAACCAAAACTCGGGTGCACATGGGTGGATAAGGAGAACTGACAGTTCCAACAGGGGCCTCGAGGGAGACTTTCTGATTAAGTGCCTGCTGACCAGAGCTGCCAGGGGAACGCCTGGTTGGGAAACGGACTGCCCCTAGAGGACGGATTCAATCCACTAACTCACACATAATGTCCAGTCTGCCTAAAGCATTTTTTTAAACAAATTAAAGCCATCATAACAAGGAGAAGAGAAGATACCGGCCTTATGGGTCCTCGGGGAACAGAAACCCAGTCTCTTTGCCAGTAAGTGCTTTGTTTGCATACATGAATAACTAAGTGGAAAGACAGCCCCGGGAATGGAAGGGGAAGATGGAGCGAGGCTCGGAAGGCAAAGACTCCTGTGGAACTACAACTCCCAGAAGGCCTTGCCACTGCGGCGTGGAAGAACTCCCCAAGGTCACGCGGAAGACACGGTTGCTGCTAATTTGTTTTTTTCTCACTGAGTCAGAGCACAGTTACCTGGGGCGACCATCTCTCTGCTCAGCACTTACTTATTACTGGCCCTTAGTTTCTAAGGTAACAGTGCAGTGGGACTGGTCTCAGGCTGTGGGAAGCGGAACCCGGAAGTGACGCTCTTACTTCGCGTCCGGAGTGAGAAGGTTCGAAGATGGCGGCGCGCAAAGGCCGGAGGCGCACATGTGAACCCATGGAGGCTGAATCCTGCGATCCAGGATCCGAAAGCCCATCCCAGGTCTACCTGCCCGGCAAGGGGCCGCCACTGGGAGAAGGCGAGGAGCTGGTAATGGACGAGGAGGCCTACGTGCTGTACCATCGTGCGCAAACTGGTAGGCTGAGGCCCCTGATTCTTGGGTCCCGGGAAGGGATGCGGGGTCTGGAGTCTTGGGGACTGCTGGCCGTTGTTGGAGATGGAGGACGGGTCCCCAGTGTCTCATTCCCACTCTGCGACTGTACTGTGCTAACCTCCCTCTCTAGGCGCCCCTTGTCTCAGCTTTGACATAGTCCGAGATAACCTGGGCGACAACCGGACAGAACTCCCTCTCACTCTTTTCCTGTGTGCGGGAACCCAGGCTGAGAGCGCCCAGAGCAATAGGTGAGAGTCAATACTTTTTTTCAAGACACCCTCAAGGACCCCAGAGTTGGGGCTCTTTGCTTCTGCCAGACCTAGACGTCTGGATCCCCAGCCAACATCTGGCACTCGGCTCCTAATTCGTCCTTTGCTTCCCCAGACTGATGATGCTTCGGATGCACAATCTCCATGGGACCAGGCCGCCACCATCAGACGGCAGCGATGAGGAGGAGGAGGAGGAAGACGAAGAGGATGAAGAGGAGCGGAAACCCCAGCTGGACCTGGCCATGGTTCCCCACTATGGTGGCATCAACCGAGTTCGGGTACGTGCCTCTCCAGGGACTTGTGCGGCCTTCTACGCAGCAATCCCCTTCCCCCACATTCAAATGACCCTCAGTGCCTCTTCCTGCCCCTGAGTTTTTTCTTTTTTGTTCTCCTGACATATTCTTTTTTTTTTTTTTTTTTTTTTTTTGGAGGCTGTCCTGGAACTCACTTTGTAGACCAGGCTGGCCTCGAACTCACAGAGATCCGCCTGCCTCTGCCTCCCGAGTGCTGGGATTAAAGGCGTGCGCCACCAACGCCCGGCTTCTTCTGACATATTCTCACCATGTAGCCCAGGCTGACTCTAAATTCAGGGTGGATTCCCTGCCTAGGCTTCTAAAGGTTGAGATAACAGGCCTGAACCACCACACCCAGTCCCCCTGAGCTTTTACAGGTTTATTTGGTACGTAGTGTTTTCTTTCTGCCTTACCTTAGGAGGAATAGTAGCTGCTATATACTAGGTGTTCTTTTAGATTGTAGTGGCTTCTGTTTGTTGTTGTCATCCCTTGGTTTCCTCTTTGGCGAAATGCTGAAAATTATGAGGCTGACAAGGGGGGGCAGTCAAGGAAATAACCTGTGTGAGAGCTGAAGCCACACCAGGCTGTAATGCGGAATGTAAGGCTTTTACTTAGCGATTGCTTAGGAGCTGAGGCAGAAGGACCAAAAGCCGACCTAAGCTACAGAATGCATTCAAAGGTAACTCAGTGGTAGAGTGTTCAGCTCAAGCATGGGAGGCCCTGGGTTCAGTGAATAAAGCATCTTCTTCTGGTCGGGCAGATGAGTAAGTAAAAGGACGATGCACAAAGTACTCTTTTCTTTTTTTTTTTTTTTTTTCCGAGACAGGGTTTCTCTGTGGCTTTGGAGGCTGTCCTGGAACTAGCTCTTGTAGACCAGGCTGGTCTCAAACTCACAGAGATCCGCCTGCCTCTGCCTCCCAAGTGCTGGGATTAAAGGCGAGCGCCACCAACGCCTGGCTCCACAAAGTACTCTTAAACCAAAACTTGACCCACAGCTGGGCCTGTGTATTGCCGTTGTTATTGCTATGCCTCAGGTGCTGTGCTAATCCCAGACGATTTAGCCTGTAGACAGAAAGCTCTGAATCTGTGAGCTCAGCATCCTAGTGAGGCAGTGAAGAGAGAGACTTGTAAACATGTGGTTTATCCCAGGATGCTGCGTGTGGGGAGGCAGACTGTCAGCAGGGTGAGGGCGGAGTTGCTTTTGCAAGTGGTGCTGTTTGAGGAGGGCCTGTTAAGCGGGTACTCTTGGAATACAGGCCCACACACAGCAGGTTCTGAAGTTTTGAGAGAACCGCAGAAACCAGTGTGTGGGGCAGGAAGAACAAGGACAGTGACCAGATGTGGGGCGGACACCCTACGGGCTGGTGTAAGGACTTGGGCTTTTCCCTTGGGGACTCAGAACCAGTGCAGGATGGAAAGTAGAGGGAAGATCTCTCAGGTACTTGTTTTAAGAGAGTCCCTCTGGCTTCTCTGAAAATGGCCCGAGAGACCAAACATGTCTGATTGTGTAAGGTGCATCTAACTCGTGGGAAGGATGGCCTAGGTAGAGGCATGTGTGACCACCATACAGATGATTAGAAAGATTAGAAGATGCCGGGCGGTGGTGGTGCACGCCTTTAATCCCAGCACATGGGAGGCAGAAGCAGAGGCAGCGGATCTCTGTGAGTTCAAGACCAGCCTGGTCTACAGAGCGAGTTCCAGGACAGCCTCCAAAGCCACAGAGAAACCCTGGCTCGAAAAACCAAAGGAAGGAAGGAAGGAAGGAAGATTAGAAGGGAAGGGCACTTCAGTATGGGTGTCAACCTTTGGGCCTAAGGTGAATGTCTCAGTTAAGTTTATATTGCTGTGAGGAGGAAACACCAGGACCAAGACAAGTTGGACAGGAAAGGGCTTATTTGACTTACACTTCAGCATTGCTGTCATTACTGAAGGAAGTCAGGACAGGAATTCAAACAGCAGGGTCCTGGGGCAGGAGCTGATGTAGAAGCCATGGAAGGGCGCTGCTTAATCATTTGCTCAGTCTCCTTTCTTCCTTTCTTTTGTGTTGTTATTGTTGTTGCTGTTTGTTGACACAGGGTTTCTATGCATAGTTCTGGCTGTCCTGGAACTTGCTCTGTAGAACAGGTTGGCCTTGTACTCAGAGATCTGCCTGTGTCTGCCTCCCAAGTACTTGGATTAAGGGTGTGTGCCACCACTACCTGGGCAGCCTGCTCTTTCTTTCTTTCTTTCTTTCTTTTTTTTTTTTTTTTTTTGATTTTTGAGGCAGGGTTTCTCCGAGGCTTTTGGAGGCTGTCCTGGAACTAGCTCTTGTAGACCAGGCTGGCCTCGAACTCACAGAGATCCGCCTGCCTCTGCCTCCCGAGTGCTGAGATTAAAGGCATGTGCTACCAACGCCCGGCGGCAGCCTGCTTTCTTACAGAACCCAGTTGCCCAGGGATGGCATCACCCATAATGGGTTGGGCCGTTGAGCCCTCCCACATCAATCACTACTTACAAAAATGCCCTACTACCTGCAACCCCATATTTTTGAGAAAATTGAGGCATTACAGCTTACTCTAGTTTATATCAAGTTGACAGTGGAGAATGCCAGAGTTGACAGTGCATTGCCTATGTAATAGGCAGACTGAGTGTAGAGGTCAAAGGTCGTGTGGCCCAGGCCCGGAACCCTTGAGCACACAGTGTGTTTCAGGTGCTGGGGGCGGGGCAGCTTAGAGCTTCATCTTCCCTACTAACTTCTCCTGCCAGCACCAGGTCACTAGCAGTTTCCTTCTCACAAAGCTGTTTGGGAATTACAGTTTGTCTGTAGACACACAGAGCTTATGGTTCTGGGGGGTCTATGTCCAACTTTAGGCCTCTTCTTTGTTTTGTGTACCCCTTTGGCAGGTGTCCTGGCTGGGGGAGGAGCCTGTGGCTGGAGTGTGGTCGGAGAAGGGCCAGGTGGAGGTGTTTGCACTGAGGCGGCTCCTACAGGTGGTAGATGACCCCCAGGCCCTGGCCATTTTCCTCCGAGATGAGCAGTCGCGGGTGAAGCCCATCTTCTCCTTTGCTGGACACATGGGTGAAGGCTTTGCTCTTGACTGGTCCCCTCGAGTGCCTGGTAAGGTTCTAATGGTTCAGGGAGGGGGCAGTAGGACTCCTGGAGAAGCAGGAAGGTGGCCAGGTGGGTGACGT